GCTTGAAGCGCGTCCACCATAGACTTTGTATGTAAACCTGCAGCTCCTGATGCTGAAATCGCGTTTGGTGTGAACGCATCATAACAGTAAATCTATACATACTGCATGTCTGATGAGTTGGTGTGTCTTACGGTGGTAGTGTTTGAAGGCATGTCCAAAGGCTGTTTCTTATATGGCATCTCGATGACTTCAAATGAAGCTTTAGAGCGAACCACATATGACTGATTCTGATTCTCAGTCTAAAAAAAAGGCAAACAAACAAAAACAATAAAGTGAAAAATTACAAATGCATCTCAAGTTTCTTCTTTTGGTTCAAACTGAAAAAAAAAGTTTTATTAAATGTGTGTGTGTTAGAATAATGTTGTAATTTTAAAATAAATCATTTTATTTACCCTGAGAAAGTTATTTACATCCAGTCTGGAGTAAATGAAGAGGATGGCGTTCTTTGTTCTCTCCAGACGACCAACTTGACATTTCAGCTGCAGACAGTCAGCTGTGGTGCAGTCCTACAAATAAAGGTTATAGTTATTTATACTGAAACAGGTAACTCTTTGTGGATGTTGTGTAGAGTTATGTCAAAGATGCAGCAGCAGTAGGCTCCAGAGTAAGGAGCTGGTCACATGACCCATAAAAGACGTGTTGATGGTGTGTAGGTGTACCAGTGTCTGCAGGTCACTCTGTGCATCTCTGGACTCCAAGTCTCTCTTGCGAACGTGGTTTTGACTCCGCCCTTCTGTTTCTCGATCTTTGTTTGGAACGATGCTGGTGTTCTGTGATGTCACCGGGTTCTGACAAACACAAAGTGTTCAAAGTGAAGTCAGCACTAATGGTCAGTGCACACAGCATCTGGTTCTGTCACCACTGATGACTGATTTGACAAACTGAGCTGATTAAAACGTGCGAGGTGTTAGTGTGAGCGGAGCTTGTTAGTGAGTCTTACGGAGACGTTGAGGGGATTGATCTCCATGTCGGTGGTGCAGTTGATGGGTCCTTCAGTATCGAAGCTGGTGATGTAGAGCAGAGAGCCATTCTTGAAGCGGTACGGCCAACTGACCTTTAACGATGCTTTGCTGAACGTACTGGGCCCGTTGTTCAGGAGCTGAGGGGACAGAACTCTGTTAAAATGCTTTCTGTGCCACTAAACATGAACCAGAGTTGTTCTTCTTTTACTTTTATTTATTACAGCAGGTTCATTTCAAACAATCTTTACAAAGAAAAACCGGATTCATTTTAGAAAAATAAAAGAAATCTAAAACTAAGTTCAGAAATTTGTTTAAGTTTCCACACAGTTCAAAAACATTAAAACTCATATTTTATATTTGTCTTACAACCATTCTAAATTATGTACTGGAACTGAAAGACAGAAAATGCTTTGATTATTAAAATAAAAAAGAGTTTTAAAACTAAACATACTTTTATTTTAAAAGCAATTCTTAAAAATCATTTCAGTATCTTTTGTTTACCAAAAACAAAACTTTAAAAATTTTACACAGTTAGGCCATAAATTTAAGACATGATTTTCTACACAAACAATAAATACAAACTTGTTTTGCTTAGGTTGTCAAAATATAAATATTTAAGTTAAAAATATACAAAACATAGTTAAAAACTGCTGCTCTCCAATTTACTGACCAAAGAACCAAAACAACTTTTCCACACTGCACATACTGTACATATGCTATGCATCTGTTTGTGTGTTCATACCTCGTAGACATGTACAATCTGAGGCCCGATGTCATCTCCAGTCACCGCAGGCTCTCTGGGTTTCCAGTTAGCGATGGGAAGCAGCACCTGACTGGGAGACGAGGATCTGCAAAGACAGAACATAAAATGCTCAGAGTGTGTTCAATCATAAAGGCCATACCATCAAAATACTGAACATTTGATGACATAAAGGAAGTGCAATCCAATCAGGAGTAGATGTGTTCTGTTAAAGTTTGTGTTTTACCCTCTGATGGAGACTTTGGCCAGGACGTCCAGGTCTGTGACGCTGGACACTCGAGGACTGGTGTTATCAAACTGGTTAGAGCTGAAACACAAACAAATCACCTTTGTGTCATTAAATACAATTCTACAATAAATCAACAAACAACAATGTATTTCTCCACTTAAACTAGATGAAGAAAACTGGCAAGAACACATAAAAATAGAAAAGGCAGATTTAGGTGAAAATCTATATAAAATATTAAAACTAGAATGACAAAAACATTAGATGGCTGAATGACAGAACATATTTTCTGAAATCGTGTGTGATTCATTTAAAACAGTCTGGCCTTTGCCTTCCTACACAATTCCGCTCAATTCTAGTTTTCCTTCACTGCTTCATCTGGGATTTCTCACATAGACAAGGATTTCTCTGGTAGAATTTCAACTGGGCCAATCGGTAAACAGAACGAAGACTTTTGAACAACGACAACGATTTTCTGTGTCGTTTTAGTCTTCCCGTAGTTTAGCAATGGCAGCAGAGGAATGAAGCCATTCAGTCCGTGTGGACAAGGCCTCCAAATTAAATTAAAGTTTCACAAAGTCTGCAGCACACATCTTGTTCGGCTCGGAATTCTCTCTACTCAGTAAGGGATGGTTGTTTACAGAGAGTGCAGTTTCAAGTTAGCTTCTTAGCTTAGCTTCCTTCACAGTCAAGCTGGGTTAGGGTTAGGTTAGGGTTCCACATCTCCAGCACGAAATCACTTTTCAATAACTGAGGTTCCAGACCCTCTGTATGAAGCAAAGCATTTAAATTGCCTTCAGGAAATCAGGTCTTGGTTTTCAAATAACTTTCTTAAACTTAACAGTGACAAAACAGAAATCTTACTTGTTAGTACCAAATCTACACTCTCCAAGACTAATAATCTCTCCATTTACGTTGACAACTCACTAGTTTCTCCATCTCCCCAGGTTAAGAGTCTGGGTGTCATCCTTGACAGTACCTTATCMTTCCACTCTCATGTCATAATGTCACTCAGTCATCTTATTTCCACCTAGGTAACATCTCTCGCCTGCGTCCATCCCCTTCATCCAACAATACAGCCATTCTGGTTCACGTTCTGGTCACATCTCATCTTAATTAATGTAATTCACTTCTCTTTGGTTTACCAGACAAACTCCTCCATAAACTACAAATTGTTCAAAACTCTGCCGCTCGAATTATCACCAGAACCCCGTCCACTTGTCATATAACATCTGTCATATACAATACGTACAATACAGAGTATTATAATAACAGATTTGTTATTAACCCTGCATTTCTTAAAGGGGACCTATTGTGCAAAATTCACTTTTTAAAGGTTTTTTTACTCAACTTTGGGTATGTACTTCTTAAATAAACAGTCCTAGGACCAAAAAAAGCACCCATATTTACTGTAAGTAAATGTATTTTTAATGTATATTAACGACAAGTTTTGTACTTCCGTCATTTTGTGATGTCACAAGCCGTACGACAACCCACCGGAACCTGCGTTCCGCCCCTTACCTAGCAACCCCCGGGTGAGATTCCTCCTCCTCAGTATAAAAAGCCGTCACGGTCTTGTTGTGCAATGCACTGCTCATTTTACAACAAGTCTCCAATGGAGCAATGGGTACAATGTTGGACCAGAGAGTGGGAGACCAGGGTTCAAAACCGGCATGGACACAATTTTGATTATTTATTTATTTTCGTTCGTTATGAACACGTTTTCTCATGTACCTCTATTGTTTAGCTTATTAAAGCCTTGTTAAAGCCTATTTGTTCGAGTTTCTGAGGTATTTCAACCGCTGCTGCTCCCTGCTCTGGTAACAGCATGCAGAGTGAGCGCAGAGGAGGGAGAGAAAAAAAAAGAAGAAGCTGCGACCAACTCTGCCTCTGGGTTTCACAGGGTCTCATATGGTTGTACAACGGAGCTTCTGCTATTATTAGCCATGCTAACGTAAACACTGGCTTTGGAGGGCGGAGTTAATGTCAATAGATTTTTGGAGGGCGTTACCAACAGAGCTCATTAACATAAACAGCTCTTCTGAACAGAAGTCAGAGCAGGCAGAACTAGAAAATGGGAAATTTTATTACCTGAGAATTATTTTGTGCATTAAATTGAATGAACATGGTCTGGATAGCCCACAGACATACCATAAAAATTTCTAGGACCCATAATTGGTCTCCTTTAAATTAGGCAAGTCTAACAAAATTCCTTGGTTCTCCCCGTGCAGCCAGCAGGTGGTGCTGTGCCCCTTTTCAGCTAAACTAAAGTCAGGTGGATCCTGGATGAACTTGACCAGTCATACCTGACTATCTGCAGGTCAAATCTGACCGATGTGTCGCTTTCTGACAGCTGGTGCACGCTGAACCTCAACTCAGCCAGGATCTAGAGGAGGGGCCCAATCAGAGGGCAGGAACCACACACAGACACACACAGAGAAAAACAATAAATCACCAAGCAGCATATTTAGATTATGTTTGATATGTTATTTTTTGGTTTTAACTGTTGGGTCATCCACATCTCAACTAGATCTCACCACCCTGACTGATGAACATGCAGGTGTTCACTGACCTTAGTTCCTCCCTTCATGGGGTTCCCCAGGTCACACACCACCATCTTGGTCTGGTTCTCCATTTTGTAAGCACAGGAGAGCCTGGAGAGGGTCTGTGAAAAACACGGGAGGACTATTACAGCTTTATGTTAAAGAACTTGACCGGGTTTGTTCACAGCCTTAGTCCACAGTGACAACAATAACTGGATTACTTTGATACTGGAAAGAAAAACAAGTAAAACAAAAAAGAAACTTAAAATTAAAATGTTATTTTGCTTTATGTTTCGTTGCGGTATGAAGGGTAGTTCTGGATGAGAATCAAAGTTTACATCCTCTGGATGTTAAATTATGTGAATGACACGTTACCTGACTGCGCACAACACCGGTGAAATCGGCCTGCTGCGGAGGGAAGACGTGGAGCTCGGCCTCGTAGGCTCCCTCGCCCCGATTCTCAGCACTGACCTCCAAGGTGAGAGCGTTGTCATCTCCGATGTACAGCTTGTCGCGGTCGCTGCAGCCAGTCAGAGAACAGAAAGATTATCCTCATATAGTTAAAACTTAAAATCTGTTTTTGCTGACATGGTTGTGTGATGAAAATCACGTCATTTTGTTCTCGTATGTCAAAAACGTTTTCTCTCAGGGGTATGAGTCAGCTATTGGTCAGAAATTTGTTGTGGGCATTTTAATGTAAAAATTGGGTGAACTGAATGTAGACGGTCAAATAAAACGTCAAATGGTGAAGAACTCAAGGAGGGAAATGGCACAATTGTGTGCTGATGAGACAGCGTGGAGACACAGGCAGCTCTTTGTGGCTGGGCGGTTTTTAAGGGCAAATCTCTGATATTACTGTTTTCTTGTCAGCTGCAGAAGAACAGAGGGTACCTCTTCACAGACAACCTGAGGTCAGGTTTACAGATGTTGTCGTCTCCACAGTCCAAAAGGATGTGAGCCTGATGGAATGAAGAAAAAAACAGTTAAAAGTAAAAAAGAAAAGTCGAAATATAAGGGGCAAAAAAAAGGACAATGAAATCTCAGTGGCAGTTACACATTAATTAAACCAGCATGATCTTCAGCCTCAACAACCAAAGCTCCACTAATGAGCAACATAATAGTGACAGTAAATACAGTAACAACAGATACAGGGGCCTTTTATAAACTGAGAGCAGACAGAAAACTTCTGTCCTAATGTTAGACACTCACTTCTTTCACAAACAGTTGTGTGATGTGGACACAGAGATGAAGTCCCTTTTGAGACCACTCCCTTTTTGCTCTGGTTCTTTCAGAAATCACACTGTGATGGCAAGAAGGCAAGAAGTGTATTGTGACTGGGGCCACACAGGGCACTAGACTAACTTTTTGCACTGGTTGCACCGGTGCACCTAACATTTTTTCTTAGGCGCACCAGCACAAAAGTTAGGTGCACCCAAATTTTCAACCACGTTGCATTTAACATCAGAGTTTTACAGGTTATTTTTTTAATCACTGTTCATTAAAGCAACATTAACTCAAAAATAATTAGTTAACAATCTAGTAAACATAAAGTTCTTTATTTGAACCAGAATTGTACAAGACCTATAACTTACTGAAAAGTATTTAAAGTGATTCTATAAAATTCTAAGTGCAAATGTATAAGGGCTGAACGTCTTATAAACATCTTAAACATTTAATGGTTAAATTTTTTTAGACACATGCCCCTCAGATGGACAACTCCTGTAGTTTGGCCCTATTGATCTTTGGCCTTGGATAAACCAGAATGATGAACACAGAATAATGATTAATAACAGAAATATTAATGATATTTATTAAAAGGTTGTGCACATTTTTTTAAATAACAACACATAAAAGTCTGCAATTTCAGCATTAGTTGAATCTTATACTATTTCACTTAAATATCTAATATGTCTAGTTTTATCCTCCTGTGACCCAGAAGAACCTATTTCAGATACTTGGAATGTAACTGTGGTGAAGTCGATTAAGTGCAAAAGCGGCCTGCCATACATGTGAGCTTCCTCGTCCTGCTGAAATGATCTGCTGCGCTCACAGAGTAGACCCCGACTGTTAAATTAACATGATGAACTTAAGAGTGAGCAACTGTCCACATCTTATTTTCATCTCCAGCTAACAAGAAAGAACTGTCATTCAGACTCCGATCTGGGTTAAAAAAGAAAAAAGCTATAGTTGTTTTGCTATGCGTACCCGCACGCACGTGTGTGTGTGTGTGTGTGTGTGTGTGTGTGTGTGTGTGTGTGTGTGTGTGTGTGTGT